TAAGAGGATTTATGGGCGAAGGAGGGGAGTAGGGACAAAGATATTTTACATTCATGGGAAATGTAACAGGATGAACGTGAGATCTTATCATGTTCAGGTATTCACTCTTTTGTGCTCAGTTTGACAAGGAAGCCGAGTTTAGTCTTTCCTTATTACCTTTCACATACAGTGGCACGCAAGTGTTGGAAACAAATAAATAAAGTAAGTAAGAAAGAGTGAGAGAAGGGCCACAGGGAGGCAGGACGGCTGCAGAGTTTGGAATAAGTGTAGGCTGCCAGAAGAAAATAAAAGGAGAACTCATAATGGCCTGGTAATAAAGAGGGTTATGAAAAGAGACAAAAGAGGGACAACAGAGGTTAAAAATGGAACAAAGTGAAGGACAGAGACACATGGAAAAGATGTTGTGGAGAAAGGGAAGACCCCCAACCACTCCCCTCTCTCTCCTCCTCTCTCTCTTTCTCTCTCTCTCTCTCTCTCTCTCTCTCTCTCTCTTTCTAGTAACAGCCAGATCTTTCTCTCCAACGCAAAGCCAAGGACTCACAAAGACACATTGTATGAAGACACACAGGCATATTCACTGTCTCACCACACACTGCCCCCTCTCCACACACACCCACACATTTGCACGCACAGAAACACACAAGCATGTACAGTACACACACCAGTTTTAATAAGAAAGGCCTGACTCAGTCAACAGTGGCAATAAAAGCTTGATCAGATTACCCTCCACAGCACTGCAGAGAGTTTGGCCTGAAGTCGCTGACAGTTCACTGGAGACTGGACCCATCTGTCTCCATAACACTGCATGGTTATTGTGGAGAAAGAGCTATGGTGTGGGCATGTGAGCAAAGTGCTGATTACAGTTTTCCCCCAGAAGAGGCATTCATAGACAACGCAGATGGATGTGATGACTGAGAACCAAAGTATCTTTCATGATAGTTCCATTCATCACAGTCCACTCTGTCCAAATGAGATTCGCTCCAGCTGTCAATCCCCACAGCCTGCAGCATGGAAATGCTCCACATGGGGGACTGAACCCAAGATTTGTACGCCATCACCACGTCTGCAATATAATCCTATACTGCCATCTAGTGGCAGTATAGGATTATACTGCCACTAGATGGCAGTATAGGATTATACTATACTGCCATCTAGTGGTTGCATGGCAACACTACCCTCCCCTTTGCGCAGTGCTGGGTGGATTGTGCAACAGTTAGGAATGTGAGTGCACTAGTTTAAAGTCTGCGTCAGTCAGTTGTCCTCTGTTGTGAGAACGGGGGTGTAGGCTACCTGAGTGTGTGCACACCTGTCAACCACAGCAGTCTGTGTTAAGTGTATTTGCACAAGTGAATCAGGGTAAACCCACTGTGTATACAGTAGCACACCACTTACAAATAACATAGGCTAAAGCAAGACTAAGAGACAGACAGATTTGGATTCCATTCTAAAACAATGACAGTGAAGAAGATGGAAATCACAGAATAGAGTATAATACAAGACACTTTTTAAATCAAAGTATTTTACAATACACTTGGGACAATCAAACACAAGGGAGTGTATGTCGACAGCATTAGAATAAGAGAAAATTAAAAGGCAAAAGCCATCCAGGGGCAGTACAAACAAACAAACAAACAAAGTAAAACAATACAACTTAAGTAACAAATTTGCACAAACCATATTCTTTGAATTTGTTGTTACCTAAGTTATTTGTGTTGGTTTGTTAATACTACTACTACTACTACTACTACTACTAATAATAATAATAATAATAATAATAATAATGATAATAAGACAGAAGAAGAAGAAGAAGAAGAAGAAATGCAATATGGGGAGGGGGCACCAGGGGAAGCTGGCCTTAGGTCCAGCCCTGCTGACTTCATATGTTTAAGTATTTATTTCTATTTGTTTCATCCATCATGTTATATGTCAATTAACAATTGAAATGTATGATGTCACACATTCTGGTGTGGTCTAGGTGTGTTGGATGTAGTTAACTCTGACCTCTGACCTCCTTGTGATAGAAGGATATAGTAACAAGAAAGTGTCTACAATCATAAACAAAGTGTAACCTTATTCTTACTTATGGAAAAAAGTGTGCAATGAGTAGGTGAAAACAAATGTACTGACACAAAACACTCCAGGTTGTTTATTACAGAGCTGACATCTCAGAGGAAACGGCTCGACAGCTCCCCCTTGTGGGCGGATGACTTCCTGTCCTGGCTCCTTGTAAGAAAAAGAGGTCTGTATTTCTGAGAGCAGTTCTCTATATGAAGCTTCATGAGTCCAAATAAATACATACATAAATAGTAGGTGAGAGTCTGGTTCACTGTGTCAAGCTGTACAGTATGAGCTACACGGGTTAACATTCTGTATGGTTGCACACTAAAGAGGAACTTGAGACTGAGAGTAGACCACGGGATTTGTTTCTTTCACTTATGTTCTTACTGTACATGCCTTTGCAGCACTTCACTCAAATGATTGGAGACTAGTTTAGTTTTTATTTTTCAGATTGCAGTATTGCTGCTTTATCTTTAGTAAAGGATCTGAAAACCTACTCCACCCCTGTGGCTGCCAGTTCTCAAAGGTCACAATGTCCGCGCAAGAAAAAGAACTTTAGTTAAATGAAGGAGCTGACAAGCTGCTCATAGGACAAAACTATGTCACCGTGGAGCCATGGACTGATCAACACTGCAGTTACATAAGTGTAAGGCAGTAGCGGATCTGTGTCATGTATAGGTCTCCCACAGTGCTTAAGCCCAGGGGCATTCACTATACAATCTAATAAACTCAGTTTTATGGCTGTTTGCAAGCTTGAGGTTCTTAGTGAGATTATTTGAGCTCATGACGTTTTCTCACACATGTATCATACCATATATACTGGCCTAATACGGTTCACTCTCCCCGAGGCCACCACAGTGTCAATGTTGCATGCTAACATTATACCGACTTCCTCTCCAGAGGTCTGTGTCTGACATGAAGTGGAAAAGACCCAAATATCACTGACAGGTCTTGCAAGTCCACTTAGCCTGTGTAATGGCACCGATGTACACAGCGAGTCTGCATATGCATTTTATTGTTTTACCAGGTGACACATTTGGGTTGTGCCAAGTGTTTTTGTGTAGCAGCGACTGCATGACTATGTGTGTGTGTGTGTGTGTGGGGGTATTTTTATATGCAAGCACACGTGATTGTTTCAGTTACCATTTGTGTATGAGTGTGTGTTGGTCTGTCTGTGCTTACTCAACTGTAAGTTTCAGACATGCTCACTGAATAATTCACGTTTTTATGTCTTGTTGCCATGGTTGTCTCTGAAATGGCTGCTTGGGCCAGCACCACACACACACACACGCACCAATATGAGCATGTTGACAGATGTGAACACCCCCATAAACACTCCAAAAGAGGGAGTCAGACATTATGAATTCGCTCTCCTTCTCTCTACCTCCCCCTTCACTTCACACTCCTATTATTATTAAAACTCTTGTTATTAACCAGCCTGGCCGGGGTGTGGGGTTCCCTGCTGTGACAACACAATGGACAGGCTGTGAAAAAATGGGACTGGTTTCCTGTTAATGGAACACCTCCAGTGGTTTTTATCTCTCATGAAGCGTAAAAGTTAAACTCCAAAACTGAACCGAAACTAGAAAAACGAGCTGCTTTCCTCTTAAATTAAGCTTAGAAGAGAATAGCTAAATTTAGCAAACATGGAAAGCATACAATAATCATACTTGTAAACTGTGAATCATAGGCTTATCTTGTGATAAACTGTGAAATCGAGGTGTGAAATTTTGCCTGTATACATTTCACACATTCCAGAGGAGATATTGTTATGAACTAGTCAAATGAGCATTCAAATACCAAGTGTTTAAAGTAGTTAAACCGTAGTTGTGTAAATACTGTGTAAGGACAAAGTGTTGCACAATGCACTGCGAGCGTAGTATTGTATACAGTTTGCCTCTGATGGTGAGCACAATGACAAAATATTGCCATTATCTATATATTTATTTATTTAGACACTCAAAAAAATGAACATAAGGGAGTGGAGTTTATGTGGAATACATTAGAGTAATAAAAAATGAAAACTTCAATTAATAGCCCGGGCTATTATTTGCTCAAATCACTTAAGTCAACAGGCTTATAACTGGGAATGGCATCTACATGGGAGAGGCCTTTAATTCCCTTTGAGCAAAACTGTTGCTCAGCTAAGATGATGAAAAACTATCAAATTGTTTATTTGAACGATGTGTAGCATCTTCTTATTGACAAAAGTTTAAACCTCTATATTTGTATGTGCAAACTGGTTTTATAAATCAAAAGAAATATTATAAAAATAAACTGCTTGGCAACCAGACCAGGTGTCTAATTAAGATAGGCATTTATTTGTGCACATTTAATGTGCACACCAGGCTAGTAAAAGTTTTAGAAGTTTTATGGTATTTATTATTGTTGTTTGTCAGTTTAGTTTTTCTTGTTAGATAGCTCTTGTTATAAATACAATCATGTAAAGCAACTACTACTACTACAACATGTGTTTTTTATGGGGGGGACAGATGAAACTTGCCCAGGGCACCTAGGGCACCAAATGTGCTGGGTACGGCACTGATAATAGGTCATTTAAAAAGTCAAAAAGTTGGTCAAGGGTTGGGCTATTGAATAGGCCTGAATAGACCACTGTGGAGAAGGAGTTTAGTTTTTAAAAGTGGGATAAGAGCATACAGACAATAAAATATCTGTCTTTGCTGTTTAAATGTGATAATGCTTGCAGTAGAGCATATTCCTCTTGTGCCAAGTGAGTTTAACTGAGTCAACATGAGGGCACTGGGCTCCAGGGGGCCACATGTGAAAATTAAGGGAAAGAGGGGGGATGTGTTTGAGAAAAGAGGAGAAAAGGGGGAGTGAGCTGGTTTTCAAAGTTGGAAAAAAAAATCAACATTTGCTTTTTCTTTTTTTTTTTAGTCGCTCTACGTCGGATGCGCTCGAGTCCAGCCAGAGAGCGCGCACGCACCTCTCGTGGGGACAGAGAGAAAGACGTGTGATTTCTCTTTGTACTGAATGAAGAGTTGAGGCCGGCTCCGCCACCGCGCACCTCTCTTTTTATATAAGCAGAGTTTGCATGCTGTAAATAGCCTTATAAGCCGGTTACACTTTACGTTTCATCGTAACCCTCGCTCGTCTTTTGTGTTGTGGAAGCGGCCGGCTGCTGCCAATGTCCCTCTGAGCGATTTTTCTTTGGACAACAAAAGCATCAGGTCCAACGTTGTTTCTTCTTCGGGGGGATTCCAAGTCACTCATTTATCAGTCGGGATTTTTCAGTGCGGAGAAGCGACGTCCACACACCGCTTCGCCTCCTCTCCGTCGCCCCGTTCACACTTCCACACCTCCCGGGGGCGATTTTTTTCTTTTCCCCTAACCGAGCGACCATGGCTGCTGTAACAAGCCCGGAGACGAGCCCTCAACCCCGGGTGTATTTCCAGACGCCGGCCGGCACCACGGAGGAACCGGAGACACCCGTTCGGAAGCAGGGACGCGTAACCGTCAAATACGACCGTAAGGAGCTGAGGAAGAGACTGAACCTGGAGGAGTGGATTATCGACCAGCTAACGGACCTCTACGACTGTGAGGTAAAGACCCGAACAATAACCGGCCTCGAAACCGATCGAATGTATCGATCAGGCGGCCGTGCTAAGTAATAGAGCCCTACAGTGTAGCCTAATAAGTCAGTGTATCAGCTCTGGGGCTTGTCTGTGTGTCCAGGCCGGAAGCAAACTCTTGATTAAGAAACATTAATAGGCCCTTTGTCGCTGCTTTTGGCCTAGCTTCGCTTCTTCTATAGCCCATAGTATCTGGGCCATATGGAGGCTAAGTATAGATGAGGTAATGAAGATGGAGAATTGGGAAAGAGTGTGACCATTACAGGAAACAAATTATTCATGGCAGACATTTCTAAGTCAGAGGAAGAGCCTTGTGGTTTAACTTCAGACCCCCCACCCACAGGTAGGCTAAATGTAGCTGATGCAGCTTTATAGCCTTATCATGAAATAGACTCCCTCTGTTCTCTCCTCTGATTGGCTGGAGCTGTTTTAAAGCACACCTGTGAACTGATTTAATCAAGTATGAATGGCTGAATGGAAATCAGACTATTTCTGCTATTTGGGTGGGAAAATAAGTCAGCAGGCATCATTTTTTAACAGCAATAGTTCAATATAGAAATTTAGGGGGAAGACTTTTTGTGTGTTGTGTGTGATAGTTATGTTTACTTACTTTTTTCAATACAATTGGTTTCCTAAATTTTTAAAGTAAGATCAGCTTGTCAGATTTTGACTGAATGCAAACTTTTAAGTACGCAAAAGTAAGGTGTTGCTTTGTTGTTCAAGGAAGGTTGGTTGAGGACAAATGAGGTGATACTGATGAATCTGCGCGGGCTGTTCAGTCATCTAAGGGAGGGCCCCTCATAATAACCTCCCTGGCTGTAATAATGACTAAGCCTAACCATCAGCGGACGCTAACTTTAGAGTCCCTCCCTGCACTATTTCACATCAAACCCTTGGTCATGGTGACCCAAAGGGAGAGTTGCATGGTCCTAATGTAACCTGGCGGCAGCTGTGGTGTGGCTGCTGGCGTCAGTAGTTGGTAAGCTCATGTCGACTCTACTGAGCTGGCATTGACCCACATTCTATTCCGAGCGGGAGGAATACAACGACTTAACAGGTTTGGAGAATTCCTAGTAGGGGACAAAAAGGCAGGAGTGCTGGAGGCTGGAGGCTGGAAGCAAAATCACACACTCTACAGGGGATAAGAAGTTTTGTTGTTGCAGAGCAAAACTTTTAAAAACATTCAGAATGTTCTACTTATCTACACGTGAAGGGTTAGGACTGGATGTTGCTATCATGAAGGAGTTGTCTTGTTGGAGACAGGTTGGCCATTAACATCAGAGGCGCTACAGGTGGTGTGGCCGTCTCCACATTTACACATGGAAGTCCAAAATCCAACCCACTGACAAACTGTAACTAATTGTAACCAGATGTTATTCACAGCCACTGGTAAACAGGAGAGTTGTTAACTGATACGTCCCATATCATCTGGTGTGAAAACCACCAGATTGTATCCTACTTTCATTGAGATTGTAACGGCAGTTACAGGGATATCCCGTGACACGCAGATCACAATAAAGTTAGCAGGGATACTACGGAGACTCGCACACCAGCAGGGGCGATTAAATGGCCTAGGGAGGATTTTAAAATCAATGTGCTTTGATTGTCTGCCAACGATGGATTAATATGCTGTGGATTAAAACCTTGCAGAGTCACAAAAGTACATTTTCAGGAGAAAATCTTTGCAGCACTGTGTTCTAGTTGTGACCTTTCTGTAATTCACTAGAAGACAATCAAAGTGGTTAATGATAGTAGACAGAGGATTTTCTCAATGTAGATTCATTCACCCATCTCACATCCATCTCTCATTCACTAATCCACTCAGTTTTTTAGTCATGCATGCTTTAATGCACTGATGCTTCATTGTTAGTCAGCTGTTTTTTGGAGCAAACGGGGTCACAAAGAGTCCAAAATCCTCACACTAAGGTGTCGCATTGACAGTGAGACTTGGATTGTAATGATTTCGCCAGATCACAGGCACATCAGATTATACTCATGTAAATAGGATATTGATTTATTCCACATTTTTGGACACACATCTCATTCATCTCTAGTAATGATGCCTATTTTTTCCTCTCATTCATGGTGGTTTCCCCCCTTTTCATTGTCCTGATCTCATCTCTGCCCAGGCTGTTAGACAACAAAGAGATTAATTTACAGTCAGTTCACTGATGGAGAGACATTGGGCTCATTTAGACGGGGAAATGTGGAGCACGTGCTACTAAACAGTGTAACCGGAGAGGCAGCTTTAGCCGGTCACAGAGCAGAGAGGGTACTGGGAGAACCCTGTGCACTGACAAAAGATATGGCGCATGTGGCTTGGGATTTCACTCCTTTCCTTTCACCTTCCTACATCGTCTTTCCCTCCTTTTCTTGCCGGCCCGTGTTTGCCTCTATGTTCTGACTCATGCCATAATCCGTATTTTCATTTTTCACCCTCCATTTTTTTCCCATCTCCCTTTATTTCTCTCCTTTCTTGGACACATATTTCTGTTATTAACACAACCACATGGAGTTTGTTCAACAGGGAATTCATAATAAGCTATTTTCCCCCATTCATATAATCCCTTTAAACACGCTACAAGCAGTCAGCCAGTCATTTCTGCCAGCCAGCTTGTCAGATATGCATCCAGCCACTTAGTCAGTCTATCAGTCAGAGTTGCTATGGGTAATAGCGAGGAGCCGAGCCTTAATATGGCTCCATGGCAACAAGGCTTGGTTAAATGTTTATGTTGGTTAACCATACAGTGGAAAAAAATAACGGTGCTGCCCATTTAGTGAAAGAAAGCTTAGTAAAACCATCATTTCCAAAAAGCCCCTGCATTCATTCTGCTCGTTTAATGCAAGATTATAATTAGAGCCATTTAGTTCTTATGTTAGCAGGGCTTTAGTGAATTCCTGCACGTCGATTTTAATGTTTTATTTGCCTAGTTTTGATAGGGTGCCCAGTAGAGGGGTGGTTCTCGACCAGGGTGTAGGTGAAGGGGTTACATGAGTTCATCTTATGTGGCTTTTGGGGCACATCGAAAAAAAAAAAAGAGCCTCCAGATCCCACAATTCCAGCCCGTCTCACAGTTTATATAATAAACCCAACTGTAAACTGTGTTAGGTTGAAAACATAAACACCGAGCTGGCAGGAAGTGTTAGGATTTAAGGGGCACATAACAAAATGAGTGAGTGTCTCTTTAAGGAGAGATGACTTTTTAAATTGTGTACACTTTCTTTGTTGTTATTGAGCTTCCACTCTATTACTGGCTTTGTATATAATGTGCTAAGTGAGTTTGAGCTGCTTACACTAGGGAAAAGGAAAGTGGGGGTTACGCTCGTCGAGTCCGCAACTTTACTTCTAGTAAAAATGATCAAATTTCACACCAGCCTTGGTATCATTTCCATGGCAACTGTGCTGTTAAATGTTTATGTGTCAGTAAAGAATAATTTTCTGCTGGTTCCTTTTGTTTTCTGCTCGTAGAACGCTGCTGACCAGAAGTTACATAGTTAACAGTGGGGCGAGTGGGCGGTCCAATCCCTAAACTCCAGGGCCCTACGTGGCCACATGGATACACACACTCACACACGCGCACACACATAAACACAGATGGGGATACGAGTGAGAACAGAGGCAGGATTGGTGAGCAGGAATGCAATAAACGGGGGAAGAGAAGGAAAAAAAACTGGAGGGGATGGCAAGAGGAGAAGGAAAAAGTAGTAGGAGGAGGCAGGGATGTCAAAGAGGGAGAAAGTGTTTTTGTAACATGTGTCCTTTGCGATTGCTTTAATACAATAGTGCCTAAATTCTTCTTATTTGACTGCAGCAGCACTGAAAACAATCTTTTGACTTCTGACAGCTGAATAAATGAACAAAATAGGAGCATGACAGCAAAGGAAGTTTGTAAATGGATTATTCTTTAATTATGTTGCCTTATTTTCAGTCTGTCTCAAACAACAGACTGTTAAAGAAGGGATCATTATAGTCAGGTAAAAACACAACATGTATACATGGTGTTGTGTGTCTGTGTAAGTCATTCCAGCCGACTCATGCACCAAAACACACACACAGACACTGCAACATTTGCTTTAACCTGACACTTAAAGGTCGGAATACCAATCAGCATTACCCTGTTTCCCTCAGTGTGCGTAAGAGGGTGACTACAAAGAGTGGTTGTTACACAGCGGGAGTGAAAGACTCTAGTGTGTCTTTGTAAACACCCCCCCCCACACTAACACCAGCACGCACACACACACACACACACACACACACACACACACACAGTCGCACACAGACATGCACACATCGTGTTAATAGCTTACATGTGGTTTTACATGTTGAACAGTTCTTTCCTGTTTGATTGGGGGGTGAGTCAGCATGTACTGTAGCCTGACCCACTGACTGACCATGTGAGCTTCTTTTAAGACACCGAGTGAATAAATCAACCAATCTAGAGAGGAGGGAGGGAGGCGGCCGAGAATGTTGTGAGCGAGGGAGGCCGAGCACGTGTTTTGGTTAGTGTGTGAGTAAGATCGGAAGGAAGTAAAGGACGCCAGGCAAGAGAAGGCATGGATGAAGAAAAAGAGGGATGTAGAGAGAGAATGAGGGATGTGAGTCATCAAGGGGAATGTTTATGCATGTTGTCAGAGAGGAAGTGTGTGACAGGCAAACACATAAGAGTCCACAGAAAAATGGACAATATTAACATATCACTTTCCCCTCAAAGTACAGTGTACAGTCAATGCACACACCTGTTGACACAAACGCACACTCACATGTTTGTCTTGGTTAAGTGCACTTGTGTTGTGCATACTTTAGGGTTTCTAAATGATCAAGAGACACATTTTGCTATCAAAGACTTTGAAAACATGTGAGTCAGGTTTGAGGTTAAGGTTTGCTTAATGTTAAGATAAGAGAAAAGGGACTGTAATACACCACATGCGTGGGGGATAGGTCTGTTGGCCAATTTGTCATTGAAGCTGAC